CCCCCCCCCCCCCCCCCCCCCCCCAAACGGTCTTCTCACTCACCAAGTCATGCGTGCTTCCTGCCACCTCGGATTCTGCGGTTTTCGCGCTACGCCAATCCGCTTCCCACTGAGCTGCCTCGCTGGCGGTTTCGCTCCGTTTCTTTTCGNGAGGAGGAGGAGGAGATACGCCTCAAAGGGGCCCAGCGTCGGTTCAGGCTCCACCTGTATGAAGGACACGCGGGTAGCATCGAAACGAGGGTACGGGTATCGAACACCACCAAGTTCTCGCCACCGCCCCGCCGAAAAAGCTAGTTTCGTTTTCGCGTCATCTCAGCCATGCTAGCTTCGCACCAACACCATTACGACAGCGAAAATCCAGCGGAAGAACACAGCAGCAACGTCAACGATTCTCACCGACCCATCCCGACCTCCAGCCTCTCCCACATGCAGATCCGCTTGGCCGTCTCCAGGCCCAGCTTGCCGCCGGCGAACAAGAAGGGCGACATCCACAGCGCCGGGAATAGGGCTGCCACACCGCCTGCCACGGTGTACGACATGCATTGGACATTCGATGTTCCCGCTATGTGGTGATAAGTCAATACACCGATGGATGGTTGATCGAGCCGCCGCCGTTGTTCAGGGGATGAATCTCCTGCTGCTGCTACTATTTGCCATCGCTGATGTTGCGATGGTTGGGGTCGTTGACGATGCTCTTGAGTGCTGCTACCGATAGGTTGCGGCTCCTAAACCGTGTTCTGATAATAGCCCTGCCGAGACCCGCGGTCTCCACACTGCAAAGGAAAGAATCGGGGGTGCTGCGATCGTTTCAACACCCATCGTCAAGTGTCTTTCAAATAATTTATCTCGTGCGCCCCCGCGCGCGTGCCAAAGACCACGCGCCCGAATTCGATTGACAACGATTGGTGCTTGGGTATTCGCTTTTTCTTTCGCTTCGCCGACGTGCACTCGTCCGTTAACTCACGCGAAACCCCTCGTGACACCCGCGGACCCCGTGCGTTCATCCCGTATACCGGGTTGTGGCACGGGTCGCCGTGTACTCTGAAAACGTCGTGCTCTTCGTAAGTTAGTACTCTGATACCGAGGTTTACCGTAGCCTACCTTTTTTTTATCTGCTGGTGCGGTCATGGTTGTGTTTGTCAAGGTCAGCCCTTCTTGCGGGTAGCCTGGAAAAGAGTGAGTGACACACCAGCCGCCACCGGCAGCGGGCAGACGACCCGAATCACTCGTTTCAGGGAGAAAAAACAAAAAAAAACTGCGAAAGCAGAGCCACCAGTTTAGTACTCGGAGTACTACACATGTAGCTTTCCGCTTGCTGCGCCAACCAAGACTGATGAGGTCATGCACCATCGCCATCGGTGTCACAGCAGCAGCAGCGGCAGGAGACCCTACAGCCTCTTACCGGCGAGCAAGGAGGCCGTCATCCCGATCACGATACCATTCCATATCAAGGCAAACGCCCCCACCGATGCCGCCTGTCCGGAGAGTCCCTCGGGGGGGATATCCACCACCTTATACAAGTAGTAGTTGGGCCCGGGAAAACAAGAAACAAAAGGGAAAGCGAGGGCGAGAGGGAGAGAATGGCAGACAAGGTTTCGTGTTCGAGGACGTCCAAGCACGTAGATCACGAGGAATTCGTTCGGGTTTTGCGTTTGGTGATTCCTGGGAATGCGCAACACATCATCACCACCGCAACAACCTTCCAAGATCCTTCATCTCCACATCTCCACATCTCCACAGAGTTGATTCTTTCGAAACACACCCACACGTATTACCTGATTACCAACATAGGCGACAGACTCGTTCACATCTCTTCCTTACGCCAGCACACACCAGCATTACAGCAACAAAACTCCAATTTTGTTTTTGCATGCGCGCAGAATATTTTTGCTTCGACGAAATATGTCCAGTACCCCCTAGCAACATCGACAACGACAACCTCGTCCACACCCCTCGTCACCACCAGCACCAGCACCAGCAACACCGCCACACCGCGCCTCATCGTGCGCACGCGAATAAAAATCGCTGGGGCTCACCAGCGTGCCGCCTTCCCTCCGAATGGAAGTCCGGGCTCCCACCGGCCGTCTCATCACGAGGCCGAACAAACTACCCGCGTCGTCCTCCTCTGCAGCAACAGCAGCAGCCTGAAACTTCCAAGGACGAGCAGGGACAAGGGAAACGAGAGGGGCGAGGCGAAAAGCTTTGAGAGGCCAGACCCGGCAGAACAAAACAGACGAATGTCGCATCCGCTTCATGCACTCGCGAATGGATCTAAAAAACGCGACCATCTACTCAAAAGTTAATAATGTCATTGAATTGTTTACAAGTGCAAGGAGAGGCCAAACGAGCAAGAACGTGCTCTCTGTCTCTGTCTCTGTCTCTGTCTCTGTCTGTCTGTCTGTCTGTCTCTCTCTCTCTCTCTCTAACTGTCTCTCTCTTTGTCTGTCTCACGCACTTGCAACACGCGAGTACCATCATCTATCATCTGGATCGTCGTTTCCAAGACCTCGCAACACCTTTTAACCCGGTCAACGTTCCTCTGCTCCTCACATTGTCCCCGAACAACATACCCACCACGAACCATATCCGACGACAGCTTTGCCAAAAACAACACACGTAAAACTTTGCTGCTCAAGTGCAGCCTCCCGGAGACTTCCCAAGAGATTGCGCCACTGCTCATGGGAGTTGAGGTAGTTCCGAAGGAACTCTGTTGGGGGCATTGTATCTGCCTGGAGGCCAATGGCGTTGGAGAGCTGCAGCACATAAACTGACAACGAGCAACCATTTCATTTAGCCTTCAACATACTAAAAAAAAATTACTGATGCCTCACAGACTTACGGCGTAGAGACGGGTGGAACGACAGCACAATCATGATATCCAGCGTCGAGCTCACCTCCCCCACCCCCACCCCCAGCGGTTCCACTTCGCCGTACCCCCTCCAGTCATCGTCGCCCTCGCCCCGTTTATTCGAGGTCACCTTCCGGCGCTTTCTTTGCGCGGAAAGCCCACCGCTTGGAGGAGCACCTGCGACGGTTGTAGATGTAGACGTGGAGGATAGTCTCCCTCCGCGGCTCTTGTCGGCGGTCCTCGTCGCGGTGGCAGCAGCGGAGATGACAGTCCCGTCGTTGCCGGCGTTGGTCGCGGTGGCGGGGAGGGATCCGAGACGGAGCAGGCGCAGCGACTGTGGAGGGAAGGGGGTTTAGGAGCAAGGAAGGCCGGGAGGGGGGAGAAAGTGCAAGGAAATGACGACAAGAGGGGTAAGGCGTAAGGGCTGTTGATACGAAACTGCACTAGTATGTTTTTCTAGCTGCTCTTGCTGTGCTTGGTGGAGGTGGTGTTGGCCATGATAGTGGTGATGGTACTGGCTTGTAACTTCCTTGGCTTCCAACAAGTGCCGCGCGTAGGTCGTGAGGCCAAATAGACCTCGTATGCCCCCCCCCCCCCCCCCCCCCCCCCCCCCCCCCNCCCCCCCGTTTTTCTACAGGGCGAGGACGGAGTGGTTCATCGGGATACCCCGGCAACACAATGTGCGGGCGAATGCGAGGGGGGCAAGGATTGTTCTAATAGACCTAGCCCCCGGGTTGCGGGTTTCTGTTTCTGGTGTTTGCCTACTAAATAGGCGTCGTGGCTGGACGTGAGATGAAACGTTCAGTCGTTTGAACCGGGTGATTTTAAACCCACGTTTCCATCTGGGCCACCTCCCTGGTTGCCCTCCGTCTCTTGTCGGCTGGGTCGACAAATGCTTTGAGGTCTATCCCGTGTCCAAACTCTCTCGCGTGTGTTCTTGTAACGTCGATGTCTCTCGCTCTTGCGTTGTTTTCGCTCGCACAAACGAACGTGTTTCAAGTCCAATTGCACTGGGTGCAGCTCGCCCCTCCAACATGTAATATTTTTCGCTGACTGACCTGTTCCGCCGACAAGCGGTCTTCCGGGAAAGGCTCTAGCAATCCCTCCAGCAGGGTTTCCAGCAGCTGTCCGCACGACACCCGTCCTTGGAAGGCCACTTCCATCCTGTTCGGACGGCCAACAACACACACCAAGCAACAGCGAAGCCTCAGAAAGTTGCGAAAACAACACACAGCAAACAAGCAGCCAAGCAGTCAACGCGGCAGAGCCTTCAGTTGCGAAAACAAAACACAGCGAGCAGCCAGAGCCAGTCAACAGGGAAAAGCCGCCAGTTGCGAAAATAACACACAGCAGGCAAGCAGCCAGTCGACACGGCAAAGCCATCAGTGGATATTAGTTGCTGAACGACCGGCCAGCGGTCGGTCGGTCCAACTGTCAGAGACGCTTATTACGCCCGGCAGGCACAGTTCGTCAGTTGTCAACCGTCCACGTTGGAAATGGTGGTGTGCGTTTGTAAAAAGGGACGGGGTCAAACGACGTACTTCGTCCTCTTGCAGCAAGCAGTCCCGTACAGGAAGGGTAAATACTACTTATAACCCTTATGGTGTCCGAAAATGGCGACGGTGCTCTCCAGTCCTTGCCCGAAAGGGAGACAAAAGGGGGTACATCTCTCCATTTTTGCTTGGAAGAGAGACAAAATAGGGTATGACTCTCCATCTTTGCTCGGAAGAGAGACAAAAGGGGGTATGGTGCAACGGGTCTCACAGGGCGGCGCGCGGGGCACGACGTGGCACATCACAACCATGCCCGGCCGCCTCGAAACCGTCCGGTTCTTGGCGCGGACTCCCCAAAACCGCTAGCACTAGCGAGCTTCCCGTCTCCCTGTCTCGCATTGCCACAGCAGTGGCGAGGGGAAAACAGGAGGCGCCATGCACATACTCCATGCGAACGATTCAACGCATCATCTGCGCGGTGTTCTCGAGTCTACTGCAACTGGCCTGCGATGTAACATACATGCATACACCATACACACGGGGAGAGGCGTAAAAACCGCTGGGGCGGGGGAATACGCGACAAGGACACACCGCGTTCGACTGTGGATATCCTGTTAGGGGTGCCAATCGGGGCGATTTTGGCGGCAAAAAAGTGACCGGTCTATCCGACGATTTTGAGAAAAAAAAGGGGGGCACGCGGACTTTTTGGTTCTCAAGTCAGCTCTTGAATCATACCGATCAAAGTATACTTTATCCTCCGTACTTTGTATAAGTAGCTCTGCGTCCAGGCAGCGACGTTGCTCTTCATACGTTGCACACATCTGGACACAAGTCCAATAGAGGACACTGCAAGCTCGGTTTATGCTTAAGTTTATAGGGCGGATGAACAACCCAGAAAAACCTACAAATTTCAGCTGTATGGCCAATGCCCGAGGCCGCCTCTGACTTTCTTGAGAAAGCGAGCTTGCAGTGCACCACCTTGGGAGTTAGACCACACAACACAAAAGACCGAACTGGAATCGCTCAAGTCAACAGCGAGATCTACATGTCTGAAAATGGTCTTCCAAGCGGGTCTCCTGCAGCGCCTGTCAGCGAAGCACAGCGGCAAAAAAACCGTAACCAAAAAAAAAAGAGGCGCGTTTTTGGT